GCTGTTGTTCATATTCGAAACATTTTTTATTCAAATGACTTTCTTTAATAGCGCAATTTATTCAGTTTTGTTCAGAAAGGTTCTAAGTTCAATTTAACGTGTCCTGGTACGATGCCCAAAACTTTGTACTATTCGATGATAACAATAGAATAATGAAGGCGTATTCGGCGCTGAAAAGAGTTAATTTCGAAGTTACAACCAAAGGCATAAAGCTCAAATTTAAAAAATGTCACCATTCAGAACTTTTCTACCGTTGCGGAAAATCTCACAATCCTGTTTTGAAGTGTTCACTTCAACATTACTACCATTAATCGAAATAGACAAGAGAATGAATGTGAATGTAGATGTGAAACTAGTTCTTCTTTTAGTCTGCGCCCCAATGTAAGGAAAGTTACCAGCCGATTTGAGTATTTTCCATGACGATTAGTCTGAGCGACTAAGCCATAAAAGAAAACTAGTAAACTACCTACAATTCGATGAGCACTATCTAACGGTGTCATTAGATCCGCCAAAACTTCAACCTGGTGGCCACAAAACCAAAATAAACAATAAAACACATAGGAGAAAATTGACATCTTTTGTAAAAACCATGAAGATTCGCCTGAGAGTATAAGCCACAAGTGAATCATACGTCAACCGATGCAGAATTTCATGCTTTATCTACTGGTACCTAACTCATCTCGATAAAAGTATCATATAGCCCGCCTCCGTTCATTAGAAACCTCGAAATTCGGATTCTCAGAAGTATTTTTTCTGACGATTCGTCCAGAAGCGTAAGCCACCTCTGAAAACCACACCAATTGCTGCAGAATCGCGAGTTCTATCGAACGATGTACAGCTTGCACGGCACAGGGCCGACACGATAGGACTTTGACCCAAAAATCCTTCAGAACTTAGGATAAGGATTATATTTCTCAAGTATCTCCCATGACGATTTGTTCAAGTGCATAAGCCACCGACGAATCATACACCATTCGATGTAGAATTCCTTGCTGTATCGAATGGTATACAGTCTGCGCGGCTCAAGACGGTCTAGATGGCACTAGGTCATTGAGAACCTCTGGAACCTTAATACAAAAAAAAACGAATATTAGGTATGGGTGTGTAAAAATTGGTTGCTGGGAAAGCATCCACCCATAGATTGAAACACGCAACTGCTAGAAGTGAGAGAATTTTAGATTGATTGGATGGCAGGGCGAAATAAGTTATAAGAGTGGGCGACTCTGATGATCACGGAGCTGAAAGAGCAGGCAATGAATTCGTAGTTCCCTGGATTATGCGATTCATTTACAGAATATCTTAGTGGTTACTGAAAGTTTCATTCAGTAGGGAAGTGGTCAGATATTATTGTGTTACCTGGTTCTTTTGCCGTAGCTACTAAGTGAAGGCTGCTTTCTTTATGTATTTTTTCATCATTTTTTGAATAATTAGTGCTGATTTTTACAAACATAGCTGCACCTACGACGTTTCACGTAGTCGGTTAAGACAATGCCGCACGCGCAGGTAGAATCGGATACTTCAACCGCGTTATTCCTGTCCACCCAAATCAATAGAAATCACGGTGTTGACCACTTACAAAAGTGAAAATATGGCAGGTTTGCTACTTATAGAAGCTTCTACTTTCTGATCGATCAATAAAATACATACCATTCCTGACACTGTGCACGCCACTCAGCAATAATTAACCGGTTCATCCAAACATTACTTTCAATGAAACCCAATTCTAGAAACAGTTATATTGCAGGCTTTCGTATTTCATTTATCTTTGTGTGTCTTGGAGATGAAACTAATGAAAAATCCATTGAGAATCGATTCATTTGACACTACATTGACAAAATTTAGATATGGATGTAGGCATATATAGGTATCAACATGTTCTAAGTAAAATATTAGATCAATGCTAGGGAAGGTTTGACATGTAACAGTGACAGATTTTACAAAGTCAATATTTTTTTAACAAAACATTCGAGTTATACATGGAAAAGACAAACCACTTTTAAGTATTTTGTCATGTACCGATGCATATCGAACGACCAAAATTTTATCAGAAATATACAGTTATGAAGAGTAGCATATTGAATTGAGAGTTTTTAAGCCCGAAGCTTTAATATTTTAAATAAAGAACTTTGAGTTGAAAAGTTTCTGATTTCTCACCATTCATATCATTGTGTATCTGCTTCATTTTTGGAATAGAACTCATATTATCCGTATCGATTAATTGATAAAGATAACATAGAAATGTATCTTTATAATCAGTAGCAACAGGAGCACTATTTCTAATAAGGAAAAATTATTATCATCTTATTTAAACAACGAGAATTTAATTTGAAAAGTATATGTTTAATATCACTTTCTAACTATTATTAATTATTAGCTCTGATCTGCATGCATACGACATTGAATATCACCGTAAGTCACTTTTTTATTGATAGACTTGCTTGACAACATTGGTTGGGATCAGAGCTTCCAACAGGCCACTTCTTTCAGCCTGACCTGGCTAGGCTAGTCTGCCTGACATGCCAGGCTAAATTTCGAAAGACAGCCTGCAGCATGGCCTGGTCTGGTCTGCAGGTGAACTAATGTTTCAGACTTTTTATTATTATGAAATTTAGAAATTAGTATTAATCCAGTGTATACGTTTCAATTTGTGATCCGACTTGTTTTCATGAGAGCAATAGAATGCAGTATGCCAATTCTCAACCAAGAGCATTCATGGATCAATTTTAAGATCGGTTTTATGAAAATCTTTGACACATGAATCTGGGCCTGAGATCTAAAATGAAACACTTTCAAACATGTAGGCAATCAAGTAGATGTTGAAATTTAGGAATTTATGTGAAGATATTTGAATTTTTTTGGAATAAAGTTATAACTACGTATATATGGAAAGTATCGATTATCTTGAATACTTGCTGATATGTAAGGTATCTTCAATCTTAAATACGTACGAATGAGAACTTCTCAACATTAGCTTAAAACCTTCTACTAATCTTACGGTTTGGTGACTTTTATTCACACGATAATTTTACGAGTGGACAGAACTTAATTCTCCATCATTTTCATTAAACGAAACTCTGAATTCGATTCTAGTTTAAACCAGCTCTTGGAACCATGAAACTCTTTAACTGAGTAACGCGATCTACCTTAGTATAAAATTGAATAAGTAAGACAAATTTGAAATAGTTCTGGCATAAAAATTGCTAGAAATAATTCAAGCTGTGTATCATCAAAGGAGAAAATTCAAAAATAGATTGAAAAATTCTAAATGTCCAAGAACTGAAAGTTAATAGTAACAAACACGGCCAAAAAACCTTATAAAACGTATAAAAACATTGGTTTGACTTGATGATCAACAGAAAATATCAGAGGCAATCATCATCGACTCGTGAAGTCGTCTTATTCTTAGAATTGAATACTGTAAATGTTTGTATTAAATCATATCCAGGCTAAGAATTTTCGCCTGGCCTGCTGCCTATCAGGCGCCTGGCATGCAGCAGGCCAAGCTAGTAGCTCTAGTTGGGATATTACTTCGGCAAGCACGAAAAATGTTCATACCGTTGTCGGTGGAAACGAACTTAATGAATGACCACCGATGAATTTAGCTACTGCAATATTTGTGTCTGATGATATTTCATGAAATATAGCTTTGTATAAAACTATCATAGAACAAATAAAAATGACTGTTTGCAACAAGAGGGTGTGGATGTCAATCTTCGTTTCATTCTCACAAACACTTCACACTCACATCTACACTCAGCCTATATTCCTCAAGTTTTTTTCTCAATTGGTTTGTTCCACGAAATACTCTTTCTATTCTGAAATTATCCTACTTGGGATCGAAAAAGTTTAGTAACTATTACGATTTCAAATTAGGATGTGGGTCTCCTTTTAATCCACATTCTATCGTGGTATGAGAGAGTATTTCTATAAAAGTTGACTTATTTTTTTTTGGAAAAAGTTGTGCATCCAGTCAATGACAATGCAAATGTAATATGCCGATTTCAAGTATGTCCCAAGCCTTCACAATCTACTTCGAATATTTGTCTTTAGCTTTTAGGTGGTGTTCTTTTTCTTTTATGTTTCAAAAAATACTATTCATTCATTCTGTTTTTATCATTTTCTTTTTATAAATTAAGACTTGATTATTTGAACTTAAACTGTTGATAAACAGTTTCGTACGATAGACAATATGCATAAATGAGACAAAATAAACCGATAACTAATATATACTTAGTAAGTAGATGTGGGGTATTGTATGGATGTAAGTGTGGATCAGATAGAGAAGTATACTCATAAGCAGACCCACTCATACGCACACCGACTATAGGATTCTGTACAGCAAAATTTCCACTACAAAATCCATTATGTCACAGTTCTTCAGAATATAGTCATTTCGAGATATGCGAAACGACTTTTCATGCTTGTTTATTAGAAAAAACGCATTTTAACTATTTTACGGTATTTAGTATTTTGACTATCATATCTTCATTTCTCCAGGAAGTTCAAAAAGCTTTTTTTTACTAAAATGATCAGCAAAAAAAAGCTCTACAAAATCTGATATGAAAGAAAATTTTGTGAATACTTTCTGTTTTTGTAGTTGACTCCCAATGGAACTATCTACCTGCTATTCGATAATTGAAACGAATATTAGATACAAACGACAGGATAACTAGATGAACACTATCAGAATCGATGAAAGAGACGACAACAAACTGTTTTGCATGTACAAAAGAAAAAACGCAATTTTCAACTGAGTCAGCATTGTCTTGATGACAAGGCATCAGCAGAGAAAAAATCATCATATCAATCTATATATACAAAGTGACGATGCACTTCAGCATGAAACTTGTTGATCAGCCACTGCGCGTCAGCTAAGATAAGCGACATTATAAATGTTTTCATCATGGTGCTGTTGAATCATACTCCTTTTTTTCTTTCATCCAACAAAGGTGAGTATCCAGAGATAAAGTAATGTTTTTACTTATAATCAAAATATTTAGATGCAATCTATTTCTATTCTTACAATTGTTGTGTTCGCTTTCAGCTGTACATTGGCTCGCGATGTGACTCTCAATCAACAATGGAATTTATGGAAAAATGCGTACAACAAACGCTATTCTAATGCTGAAGAACACCTTCGGTATCAAATATTGTCCTGTATTTCTATATCAGATTGATCATTAAACTCTGAAATTGTAGTCGTGCTGTCTGGGAAAATAATTGGAAGATAGTTGAAGAACACAATTTTCAAGCTGATCTTGGTGTTCACACATACTGGCTCGGAATGAACAAATATGCTGATTTAGTAAAGTCTTATCCCATACACTTCGACTACAGTTTGTTGATTATTTGTTTTGCAACTAGACTATCGACGAATTTGTGAAAGTATTGAATGGTTTCAATGGTCAGATGAAAGAAGACCGAAGTCAAAATCATCAAATATTCACATCAGAACCAAATTTTGAATTACCAGATACTGTTGGTATGTATCACAACGAATAAAAATTTCGATCTGTGCAACTATTTGACTGTTCTCTTAATAGACTGGCGTGACCAAGGTGATGTTACACCAGTCAAAGATCAAGGTCAATGTGGATCATGCTGGGCTTTCTCAGCAGTTGGCTCCATCGAAAGTGCATATGCCATTAAAACTGGCCAACTTGTTTCACTCTCTGAACAACAGTTAGTTGATTGTTCTGGTAAACAGGGTAATATGGGTTGTAATGGTGGTTTGATGGATCAAGCCTTCGAATATGTCAAAGAAGCCGGTGGTATTGAAAGTGAAAATTCATATCCATATGAAGCTGTTGGCAAGACATGCGTGTTTAATACATCAAAGGTTATTGTCAAAGTCTGTGGATTCATTGATATTGCATCAAAAGATGAAGCAGCTCTTCAACAAGCCGTTGCTACTATTGGACCAATGTCAGTTGCTATTGATGCTAGTCACTCATCATTTCAGTTATACAAGTGCGGTGGTATGTATCTTTCATCACTTCTCATCTCCTACTCTAATTTTACACGATTTGTTTAGTTTATAACGAACCAGCTTGCTCACAAAACCAACTTGATCATGGTGTTCTCGCTATAGGTTACGGTACAGCCTCGGGCAAAGATTATTGGCTCGTGAAAAACAGGTAATTATTATGCTTTAGATATTTTATTGAATATTGTATCATTTGTTTATCATCGTTTCAGCTGGGGTTCAGGTTGGGGTGATCAAGGTTATATCAAAATGACACGTAACAAAAATAATCAATGTGGTATTGCCACAATGGCCAGTTACCCAATTATTTGTTAAGAATTTTTTTTGGGCTGTAGACGTTGGATGTGGGTGTGGATGTGGATGTAAGCATCTTTTCTAGCATAACCCACACCCACACCATAACAAAATGTTAAAATCTTCTTTTCTTTTATTTTCATCTAATATACAACAATATTCATGTAAATAATTAATTTATCTTCGAAATTTTCATACCATAAAATGTTCCACAACTCAATAAAAGGAGGGGTGTGGGTGTGGGTGTGGATGTGGGTGGGTGTGGGGTGTGGGTGTGGGTGTGGGTGGGTGTGGGTGGGTGTGGGTGTGGGTGTGAGTGGGTTTGGGTGTCGCTGTGGGTGAGAGTTAACAAGGGAGGAATACATCCACACCCAACACCCATCCACATCCGCATCCCACACCGACAGCCACAGCCACAGCTACACCCACACACCCACCCACATCCACACCCGCATCCACACCAACACCCACCCACACCCCACCCACACCCACACCCGCATCCACACCCACACCCACCCCACCCACACCCACACCAACACCCACCCACACCCACACCCACACACCCTCAAAGACATTGAGTTACATTTTTTTGTTCCATTCAACCAATATGGAATTCATCGGGATTTTCGAAAACTATGGGATTCGACTTTGGAGGTTATTTAGCAGTTCATGTAGTTTTGGGTTTTTTTTTTCTCGTATTATCATGATTGCTTCTTTACGCAAGTTCTCGATGTGTCCCTCGTCTTTACTGCTTTCTCAATGGTCGAATTTTTGGTATCAAAGTCAATTATGAAACCGCCAAGAGGAGTGGCGCTGCTGAAACAGAAAATGCGAATGTTGATCTCCACCTACAAAGTACAAAGATAAAGGATGTTCACCATTTTAAAATAACAGTAGATGAGCGACCAATGAAATCATCGTCAGTAGGTCAAGAGTGTTTTCTGACTGCTATTGGTGGCATTACGTTCGCAGTAGCACTGATGGCTCTTTTCGAAGGATTTATGCTCGGCAATACAGGTCTTAAAGTAGGAGATGAGTGTCCCATAGATCCGATGACTTGTTATGCTTTCGGTAACTCTTCGGGTTCATCTCCAATAGGTGAGTTCAGCTGCATTCCAAGCGCTACTCCAACTTTTCCAACTGGTGCAACGCACGTATGGTGCTATGGATGGATCATTAAGAGAAATACAGTCAGCCATGTTATTAATCAAATCGGTATTTGTGGTGATATTCTAGGAGTGCTGGGCACACTCTTTGTATTTATGTTTCAAGCACACAGGCGTTGCGACAATAATAATATCACTTTCAGCAATCCTTATTTGTATAATGATCATTTTAAGTGGCACAAACACAGTGGCTTTTTCTGTCTTGGTCTATACCGTTGCCATTGCCTGCGTCATTATTGGGTGCTCAGGTTGTATGTTCAATGCTGGCGAAGAGAAGATTGCAGCTGAAAAAGAATCCCAGAAGAATAGCAACGATACGGTCAAAGATTTGTCCGTTGAAACTTCTGACTTGCGTAAGACTACAAACAAGATCGTGCTTATTTCGACTTAACTTCTTGTTGATGAACTTCTTTCGCTTGATTCATGTAATACTGAAACACTTTTCCTATGCTTTCACTTCAAAATAAACACATTAGAATAACCACTAGATTATTCCGTTCTGCATGACAATTCTTAGACGTCTATCAGTGTATGGGGTGTGTGGCGTGGGTGTAGGTGAGGGTGTACGTGTGTTGTAGGTGTACGCTGTAGGTGAGGATTTTGAGTGTGGATGTGGATGTCAACAAAGAGAAGTCTCTCATAAATAGTAACACTCTATGCCAACATCAACACTGATACAGTTTCATCGATACCGAATGAAGTTTATGTTTGTTAGCTATTGTGTATTTTTCAACAATGACAATTACTAAACGTTCAACAAAACTAATGTCGATGTATTTGCTTCCCATTCAATGAATTTCTTTGTAGCAATATAAATTTTTTTCTTGTTTATAATCAACACTTTTGCACTCTTTACCTTGAGTGTTTCACCGTTGCTATGTGCATCGCCTCCGAATAGACTGTGCAGTTGAATAGAATTCAAAAACAGAAACGAAAAAAATCGAAACGCAAATAGGAATCATAAAGAATGGGTTGGGTATGGGTGTGGGTGTGATTGTGATTGTGGATGTGACTATGGGTGTGGGGTGTGATGGGTGTGCGGTCATGATTGTATGCATTAGTGTCTCAGTTTGTTATCATCATCAACGTGTGCGGGTGTGGGGTGTGGGTGTAGGATTTGGGTGTGGGGTGTGGGGTGTGGGGTGTGGGGTGTGGGTGTGGGATTTGGGTGTGGGGTGTGGGGTGTGGGGTGTGGGGTGTGGGTGTGAGTGTGGGGTGGATGTGGGTATGTGGGTCTGGGTGTGGATATGAGTGTGGAGATGGGTGTGTAATTTTCATTCGGTACTCACACCCACACCCGCGGCCATACCCCACACCCATACCCACACACCCATCCACACCCACATTTCAGTATGTTGCACAAAACAATGCTGCAGCTTGAGGGTGTGGGTGTGGACGTGGGTGTAGGTGTGGATGGGTGTGTGTGTGTTAGTATCTTTTCCATGCACACCACACACCCACATATCCACATCATCCACTTCCACACCCACTCTCACATCCACATTCACACCCATTCACACCCACTCTCACATCCACATCCACACCATCCACTCACACCTCACGCACACCCACACCCCACACCCACACCACCCACGCCCCACACCCACTCACACCCCATCATATACCCACACAGATCCACAGCCACGCTCACACCCCCCCACCCACCCCCACGCCCACACCCACACACCCACGCTCACACTCCACACCCACACCCACACCCACCTTTCATTATGTTGCACACAATAATGCTGCAGCTTTTCGAGATCTAACCCGAATGAAATTCGATTCGGTAGTGAAGAGAGCATTAGAAATTTATTTGAAATGAATTGTTGGTCGTCAACTTGGCTTCATCTATTAAGAATACAAGGTTAATGAAGTTTTTCTTCAGTCATCTCTGTTTACTCGTTTTTTCGATCGTATATTAGTAAAATGGTAAAAACAGCTTTATGTATGGTATCTTTTTTTTAAGAAAAGAAAAGAGATGAAAAAACAACGAAGCCGAGTTTGAGAGTAACTCTCTTCTTAGTGGGAATGAATTTATTCAATCTTTTTTTAGGTTTTATCATTTTGTTGGTAATACTGTTTCGAAGACAGTGACCACCGTTCGTGAGTATTTTTAAAAGCGCGATATACATTTTTATTGATTTGAATATCTTGCAACAGTTTTAAAAAAATAGTAAACAATAAAATGATACATAGCGCAGTCGAGTCCATCAGTATAACAGGCTGACACAAGTTTTCCAGTCAAATCTCTATGCCCTACTGAATAAAACAGAAGTAAAGAAGGATAAGTCAATAAGAGTTGTACAGAAAGTATACGGCTATTCCTTCTACTAATAATGTATCGAGGAGACATTAAAGGCACTACCGATATGTTCAGGCTTTAGGCTAACAATGATCCCATTAACCTATCTTGCAGAGAATCGATTGTGTAGTTCAGTGATAATGATTAGAAAGTGTTGTATTCACGAAAGCCCTTAAAAATTAACAAACTCTCTATTGTGAAAACATATTCGGTAAAATACTAATAGATAGTCGACGACAAAAGTCTTACCCGCTTTGAAATGAATTTTTTTTATTATATTTGACGCATGAGAATTGAATGCAACACATATATGTACAGAGGAGTTTGAGACATTTACGCAGCACATAGTAATTTTATAAGTGTTTGCTTCGTCTATGAGTAAAGTAAAAATATGTGAATACATCCATTTTTGGATGACTTGTTCAGAGATGAGATGAATTGTATGATATGAGGCTGAAATTTCGAGCTGATGGATTTCTGATGAATGAATTACAATTCAAAATTTCGTGCTGAGTGTTCTTGGTATTGCCGTTGACGGAGCATAGCTAAAGCTCTTCTCTCTAAACGGTCAAAAGTTATAAACTCGAACTCACTTCACACGAGCCATCTCATCTCTCAACAGATCATCCAAAAATGGATGTCTTCACATACTTTTACTTTCCTCACAGAAGAAGCAAACACTTATAAAACTGCTATGTACTGCGTAAATGTCTCGAATCCCTGTGTATATATATGTGTTGTATTCTATTCTCATACATCAAAAATCAAATAAAAAATTCATTTCAAGACGGGCAAGACTTTTGTCGTCGACTAAGAGCTCTCTTAAATGAACATCTTATTCGATGTCTCAACATAACCTGTTTTGCTCACTAGAAAATTGATGAACATCATCGATTCACTCATGACTCATAGATCCTCGTTCATCACTGCAGATACAGCGACACAAACATCTAGTACACAGGTGTTCAAGAAAGCTGCGACCCCACATTTATCCGTTTGTAATACGCGCTGTATTCTTGTGGGTAGTACGCACAGTTATGCTGTGTAATAGAAAATATTGCCGATACTTGCACTTGAAATGTGTATCAGCTAGATTCAAAAACATAAACACCATAACAGATCATCAGCCAACATCATTTTCAGTCATACCCTCAATCAAGGTTTAACCTAGACTTTACTTCGACCGCTGAAGTTTGTACACACCTTCATACAGTCAGATCCTCAGTTACAGATGCCCGATGGGTTTTGTTGGTATGAATGTCCATGAAACTCGAGCTTCCATACGTCATTCTTAAGTCACAAAAATGAGCTCACTAAACATTCGAATAATTTCAACTTTGTCTCATCCACCAAAACTTCGAGGTAGATTTTCTCGGTAAACCAAACAGTGGTGCATGAGCATTGGTGTGGATGCAGGTAACCTTAAAGCGAGTGACCACAGAAATACTGACACCCATACCCACACTCTGACCTTTTTTTACTTATTTCAATAGTTGCTGAGAATATTACAGAAGTAACAGGATGAAGAGTAAAACGCTTTCTTTTCTTTTTTTGTTTATTTTGTTACTCCGAGTATTGCTCGTCATTCTCTGAGAAAAACTAAAAGATTAGTTTTGTTTAACTTTTCTCTGTCATTATTTAGCTACTCTGAGAGGGATGCCGCATTTTATAAAAAGAACAATCGAGTAACTTCGTTTCATGTTCTTGTTTTCTGATGACGGAAGGTTCCCAACTGATCAATCAGTTTTGCGTTGAGACTATGTGCATTATGTAGATGAAACTGTGCTATGAATATCCTGCAGGGTGTGGATGTGGGTCAGGGATGCCACCTCAGGAAGTCGAAAAAGCGGGAAGTTGCCTTAGAAAAGCGAAAAATTGTGGAAACCAAAAACAGAAAAAGCGGAAACTTATCTTGTTGCGGATTTTTAGCATTTATGAGGATTTGCAACTTTTTCATATTTATAGCATTCTGTTTCTATTTTAACAAAATTGCAAAACATAATATATTGTTGAAATGAATAAAAATGACTATGCTTCACTCCATGGTATACAAAAGGACCTTTTGCAGCTGCTGTTTCTTCAACCTCCTTGTTAGATTTCATAGTTGATGTTATCAATTGTCGATTTATACCGAATGATTTTATGTTGTTGTTATGTCTTTTCAACTTTATGTGACGATCAATATCATTTTTCCACCATCACATACTGAAAAATGTTCGTTAGAGGCAATACAAAGAACTTTAGCTGAATCTGGTTTATACTGTCGTAAAAATGATGTGAACTCAGGATTAAGTAGCCATTGTGAATTAAACATGCCTTTTTTATCTTTTGATAAGCACCTAGTATGGCTTCAGTATTTTTATTTTCATTTGATTTCAGAATTGGTGTTGTTGCTATTAAATGTTCACGATCTGTTTCATCATTTGCAATCTCAATATCTTTAGGTCATAAAAAACGTTTAAATTTTCGGATTGGAGATTTTTTTAGGTAAATGCAGAAGGCAAAATAATTTGAAAAGAAGTTAACTATCAGTTGAGAGCAGAATGATGCTTTTAATTCCCGAACAGGCAGTTAGTGTGCAAGCCCTTTAACATAGAAAAATTTTATGTGTTCGTTCCTTGATTTTATGGATGACATAATAAGAATGATGGTTAACTGAACGCATAAACAGTAAGACTTTGTTCGACAATAATAAGTTTTGCTTCGAACATCTTTTGAAAACACATCACCTTGTTATATAAAAAAGCGGAAAACAGATGAAAAGGCGAAAGAGGTAGCATTCCTGGTGTTGGTGTGGATGTAGATGAAGAGTGAGGGTGTGAGTGTGGGTGTGGGTGTGGATATAAGTTCATTCTTCATCTACACCCCACCCCCACCCACCCACACCATTATTGCTACGGAGATACTGTACTTTTACTATATGTTTCTAGATCAATGCCATGCGACCCCCCCCCCCCCCCCGCAACACCGAAAAAAAAAATTTTGAGTTTTGACTTGAAACTCTTACATAGAAACACACCTTACCGACAATAGTTTTTTGAAAGTCTTAGATCGTTGAATTTGTTCCTAGCCTGATATGAGAGCATCAAATATTGTGGTTTATCCGAATGAAGTTATCATAGTTGTATCTGAGAATAGCAGCAGAAAGGTCTAAAATTTCCATAAAATACTGTTCTCTGTAAGGCCTGTTTCTATGTAAAGTTTCAAGTCGAAACTTGAAAATCATTATTTCTGTTGTTCCTGAAAGGGATCCCGTGGCATTGATCGACAAACATACCGTAACAATGCAGTATCTTCATAGCAATAAGCTATCAGCCCGAACTTTTTCTCAGAATATTCATAGCTCATTTCCATCTAAATAATGCACAAAGTCTCAACGCAAAATCAATTGATCAGTCGGGGACCTTTTCTCGTGAGTCGGCTGATAAAAATAGGATTTCGAAAATCCTTCTTCATCGAATGAAAACCAACTAAAAAGAAAAAGCCATGATCATCCTTAGCATGCTTGAACATACTTCTTTACATCAACAATGTATACATATCTCGTCGAAAGTCTAAGAGGTAATACAAAATGAGCCAGGAACTAATAATTTGATAAAGATTCTCCATAATATGACTAAAGCTTGCTTGATATAAAATGTGTTCAAAAAAGAAAGATGAAATAATCAGCAGAACCGTTTCGAAGAACAGCAATATCGATTGGTCGAGAATCGAAAATATTTGAATTTCTTCAAATAATATGTATGAATAGAACATATGAAGACGAAAAATCGAATCAGTTTCGGAATTTCTTCCATGGTATCCTTTATCCGAAATTATTCGAAAGTTAATTATTATGGTTCGCTTTTGTTTTAGATATATCATTAAATATGGCTGAACAAACAGATAGCGAACCAATTGGTGAACAACAGGGTTGTATTGAACTTATTCGATGTGTTGCAGCAACCAACGAAAAACAGAAAGATCCTACATATATACCGAAACTAGAGATAAATTCAAAAGCATTGGAAATAATATCGGAAAGATTTGAATCGCCGATCTCCATTATTGCGTATGTTGGAGCACTAGGGGTCGGTAAAAGTAAACTAGCAAGTTTAACGGTGGAAACATTACATATAACATCATTTGATCCACCATTACGACTGTTTCGCAGTGGTGCTGGTAGCACCGGTGTCACTCATGGTGTTTGGATGTGGAGTGAGCCTTTACAGCATCCAGAAGAAAATCAAACAGGTTCAATATTAGTGTTAGATTGCGAAGGAATGGGAGATTTAGATCAAAATACAGGTACTAATTTATATGTATTTTGTATGATTATGAGTACAGTATTTGCTGTTGTTCTCCGTCCATCTCGCGTCGATAGTTCCCTATGTGAACGACTGTACAATGCTTTACATCGTTTCAGAGATATGCACGCACCATACGTGTTACCTAGTCTATGTTTAGTAGCGATGGATATGCCATCATTCATTCGTAATGATCCAACAATAGGTGATGTGATAATTTCAAAAAATGACTGGTTAGAAGACATATTTACAAACACTTCAAGTACTTTGTCAGAACAAGAAAATAACATTATTCGAGCCCGATATGATTATATTAGAGGTTTATTACCTGATATTGATGCTGTAAATATCGATTATTTGCCACGACCACTGATGAACAACAATGACAAATTAGACATACATACAGAGTTAAGAAAAGACGCACATCAAGAGTTTTATGCATCATTGAAAACAGCTGTTAAGAGAATGTTATCGAATGGTGGTAAACGATTACCAGGATCTCGACACTCTTCTCTGTTTATCCGTCCAGCGGAATTAGCAGCTTTAATGAGTGATTTAATCGACGTTCTCAATGAAAATAAAATGCCAAATGCCGATGCATTGATTACTCGATATTTATTAACACGTTTCGACAAAGAAATTGTGGAACAACACGTAGCCGAATTCGAACTAAATTTACTAGTCTATGCTCGAGATACTCTTGGTGATACTATGAGAAAACGAAATAAACCAGAAACGCCTGACCAAATTAAAGCAACAAATAATCAAATGAAAGATAAACGTGACAGTTTGACAACAGAATATCTCGGTATGATGATAGGCTTAGCTCGTTATCAAATTTATGGCTTTGATGAAAAATTATCAAATAGTTACGCTAATGTCATTGACCAAGAAAAGGCTTTACAAGAATTACCAAGAGCAATTCAATTAAAAATCGAAGACATAGAAAAGCAGATGAATGGCTATCAAAATCCAGAGTTATGCATCAGAACGATACGTGCAAATTTAAGTATTGAAGATTTACATCGTCAACAAGCAGAACAACAAAAACTGCTGGAAGAAACGAAGAAAAAAATAGAAAGTAAACGAGATCTTATTAAACGCGAACAACGCATCAATTGTTCTTTAGCATTGGCAAAACCGGTAAGAATCGGTCTCGCACCATGTGCATATTGTGGACGTTCAGGTGGTGCTATCTATTATACTCATTGGAAAAGATACTGTTCTTCCGGACGAACTGGTAATTATTATCATTACAATCGTGAAGATGGACGAATGGTTTGCGACGCATGTAGAGCTGTAGTCAAAATAGAGGATCAGCGTGTAGAATGTGCTCGATGTGGAGAACCACGAAAAGTGACGCGCCTCTACACATTTAATGAATAGTCCTAGAAGAATTGTGGTATGGGAGGTATCGAAGTAATTTTGTAAGACAAATTCTAAACGTCCTATCCTTATATGTTCTCTCTTATTGCCAAGTCATTTTCGATATCACTTTCCTTTGGTTCCTTCCTTTACTGATTTCTACACTGTAATGTAGTCTTCGTTCAACATTCTCAAACCGTAACATGTCGTCCCTTGGTATACTCTATGATTATCTACACTTTTGATATTAATATTTACTGTTTTCGTGTGTAGGGTGATAATCTTCTGTTCATCATCTACACTCATTCTGTAAAAGAAATGTGTCATGCTGAACCTTTTAGAGTTCTAAATTTGGGTACCATTTTCAGAACCTTTTGAGGTTCAAGGAAAATATGGTTCTATCTCGCACTTTTTTCTTCCTCTTCCAAAAATGCTTCTACTCTATTAAAACGTAGTCCACTCAATCCACGTAGTCTAATACTGACGATTAATTCTATGCCTAACACCTCATTTCAATGCTTAAATCGTTACTTCTAACCTCAACTCCTTAATTCTACATGTAATTCTTACTGCTATACCTCATCTCTTATCTCTATCCTTAACCTCTTAGGGTGTGGGTGGGTGTAGGTGAGTGTGAATGAGTGTGTGTGTGGGCATGGATGCGGGTGTGGGTGCGTGTGCGGGTTTAGACAACATTCACACCCCCACCCCCACCTACACTCACAGCTCACTCTGTAAGTTTTGTATTTTGTTGAACGTGAGTGCGACTTTTATTTCAATAATGAAGAACGAAAGAAAGAAATAATAGAGAAAAAGAGAATACCAACGATAACCATCGTTTTCGAATAGAAGAAGGATGTGTGTGGGTGTGGGTGCTTGGGTGTGAGTGTGTGGGTGTGGGTGGGTGTGGATGTGGGTGTGTGGATGTGGGGTGTGCGTATGCATGTGGGTGTGAGTGTTGTTGTATGGATGTGGGTGTTAATCTCCCCTTCATTCATACCCGCACCCACCCACAGCCAGTCACCCATACCCATCTACAGTCACACCCACATACAGCCGTAGTCACATCCCAGCCACAGTCACCGTCACCCACACGCCCACACCAGAGATGGAACCGGTACCGGTCTGGGTTTTGGATCGACCGGTCTACCGGTCTACCGGTCCATACCGGTC